TGCCTAATTTCTAACTCCTCAACTTGTTACTTCACTAATTCTTAAAAAATGTTATTTCTTATTACAACAAAGAGATCATAGCTTTGTTGCAACCTTTCAAATAAGAATTTCTCCTAAAATCAAGCTCTCATACCGCTCATGCTCAAATTACCATTGCGCAACAATAACGCCAATACTCCGACTGTTTAATTGTTTCTGTTGCGCAAGTTCCTAGACTTTTACACCTAGGTCAGTAACAAGTTGTGTTGTGAATTAAAATTTTGGGACGTTCTCTAGTAACAAGGCAATATTATCAGATATATGGTCAACATAGACCTAATTGACGCATCTGGAAAGATTAACTGCGTCATCTATGAACATATTGCCGAAGATCTGCTCGACTGCGACGCAACAACTCTTGAACGTAAAGATGGCCACGTAAGCAATTACCCTGCAAACTATTTATTCTCTCTAACACTAAGCATTTTATATAACATTTGAACATGAGGACCCTTCTACGTAGTCAATTATCCTTTAAACATCTGAAGAACGCAGATCCAACAAAGACGGCTTGCACCAATAATGCTACCCCGTTTGGCACTAGCGAGCCCAAATCGGACCTCTTTAATGACCATATTTTTTTTGCTGCGCTTCATCCACAATACCACACCATTTCAATAGACCACAAAAAAGAATACATAATTAATGCCCTTTATCTTTCTTCATCGGTGATCGGACACCCCTTCACATTTGAAAACCTGCACACATTTCTGTTGCAAAGCTGACATAACCTCTCATGTATGTCTAAATCGTTAATAAGAACATACTAATTAGATACTAATTGGAATCCACACATCTTGTAGGATATCCTCATGTACGGCCAAAACCGCAAGAAGTGTATAAATAAAAAAAAGTTTATATTTGTTGTTAAGAAGAAACAGTCAACGATGACAAAATTTAGCAATTTCAACTACACTGTTAATGCTGTTCAATCACCGGGCTCGGGTAAGCGTACAATTCATTCTTGACGACTACATAAGAGAAACAACTGAAAAGAAATGTGTTTTTCTAAATAGTTTTACATATTACAGATAATACAGATGATGCAAGCTCAACGCAATTGGAAACAACCGAAGAAAGACTGAGAGTTAGCAACACATCATTGACACCAATACTTTATGGCCTGAAAACCTTCGCTGAAATTGGAGAGGGATCCACAACATGTAATACATACTATCACTTTCTCTATTTATCTTTATATGCAACAACAACTACAAAATCACCATCACTTACTGTTTCCACATATGACGTTTTTCTTAGTAGCTGCACGGAAAGAGCTGTTGCCTCTACTAGAAGGTAATGCGCCGCACCCCTGAGTGAAATCCCCTTCCTTTGAGCTCCATAACAAAAGCCCAACAAAAAATATTGGCACCTCAACAACCAAAGGAAAGAAGTGAGCTAACGCGTAGTCACCTTTTGTTACTGTACTTGTAAGAAACGGAAGCAAGCAAACACACTCCAACTTGATAGATTTTGTTGAATATGTTAAGTACCCTCCCTTGTCATGCCGCTTTTGGAAATAAGTGTATGTTCGACGAACTCGCTCGTCTACAGAAGTTGTTAGGCATTTGTATTTTAAGAAATGAAAACCAACCTAGACCTCCACATTTACTAAGACACGCTACATTCTTTGTTTTTCGAAACAATGCAAATAGAATCCACCCTTTTCCCTCAAAAAGAAATAGTAGTAGAGTCAACATAAAATACCACGTAACCTACACATACCATAACAAGATAACAAATTGTTGCCTTACAAAGTTGTTTCCCCTCCCAAAAAATAAGAAAATCTTTCATCACGTACAACTTACAATCACAATAGTCGGGGTTTCCCAATGCCACTTCCACAAGTTGGCTTTAAACTAACAACTTTAGTTTCCACTCTAGAAAATATTTAACACAAATAACACATATACTACATTTACATGCGCGTCGTAACTATTAGTGTATGGAATTTAGAAACACTGTTGACATAGATTATAGTTTAAACTAAACACACTTTCTGCAAAACCCTTCCAAATATTCATATCTTGTCAATATTACTGGATTCCGTCCTTATAGTATTTTGCATAAAAATTTAGTTGTTTATGCACCACCAAATTTGCGAGTCTAATTCAACACACATATATAAATATACATATACATATATATTTATGTATCTCGATATATATATAGTGCTCATGCTCTTAATTTTGAATTTGTTGTACAAACATGAAATAATATGAGATCAGTTATCCTCCTTTGGGGTTTGTCGTAAACCGGTCATCCTTTTAATCCATCACAGTTTCTTAGAGAACCCAGATGACCACCCATGTCACAATATATTTTTTTTTTGGGTTGGCGTGAAGAAGAATTCATCAAAAATATTTTCCTTTTGGAAAATATATTTTTTTATTATATATAGATATATTTTTTAAATATTTTTGTTACTAAAATAAATTTTATTTTCTACAAAACAGTATACATTTTGATACAATTTTGATTTTTTCGAATTCTAAAACAATTTTTCTTTTTTGTTTTAAAGTAGATTGAATTTCATTAATAATAAAAGTTGCAATCACACCTAATTCAATATTGGTCATTCCCTTGTATAGCAAAAAATTTTGGATTTTGCATGCAACGTGAATTATCGGCTGGAGAATTTATTTGAAATATTGACACTTGCGTACAAACAAGAATTAAAACAGCTGCACACAGACATTAGAATCACCGATGAGGTTAGCATTTTAGATAACTAATTCAGAAACACCTTTTGATCAATTAACAATTGGGGTGAGCGTTCAGGATCACCGATGGAAAAAACACTACAACAAAACATTCATATTTCTATGAAATTAGCTATGAAAATTTTCAGCTAATGAATTTGTTTCAAAATTAGCCATAAAAATATATATAGTGGCTATAAGCAGTGTAGCTAATTTTGCCACATAAATTGTCATGATAATTTGCAATGTAATTTGCTACAACTTATTTGACAAACTAATTGCCACAACAATAAGTTTGATATATATTTTGCCACATTTAAATAATAAATTATTTTACAAAATTTTTCTACACAAATTGCCACGATTTATTTGAATAAATTTTTTCATAAATAATAATATTTAAACAATTAAAATAAAATATTTTAATTTTTCATGTGCATAGCAATTCAAAATTTGATGTAAAATTTAAATTGTAGAATTCAATGTTACAAATATTAACAATAAAAAAAAATTAATACAACATTATATTTTCTAAACATTAATATAAACAAATACGGTTAATAAAATTAATATTTTTAAATACATACAGTAACATCAATACAATATTTAATCAAATATATTTATATAATACACTAAAAATACACATGGAACTAAATCTTTCAAATTTTGGATTATTAAAGTTTTGACATGTATGCTCTTGACGTATGCTTCGCCTTCAACTTCTTTTTCTTCTTCGTATCCAATAGCTTCTCCATTTTCTTCTAATAAGTCCTAAAAAGAGTAATACTGGAAAAAATTAGAAAATAAATCATTAGTGACTTATAAAATGCTAATTTAATGAAAAAAAACTAATAATATAAATAGAACAAATATTAGCAATGTGAACGCAAAAACAAAATAGTAAAAAATATTAGTAAGAAAACAAAAAAAAAAAAAAAAAACATATGAAAGAAAAAAGGACAAACAATTATTTATACTTTTTATTTTTTAGAAAATTAAACGAGATAAAAAATTTTAAAAAAAATACTCAGTATAAGTTTTAAAAAATAGAGAAACAACAAGAAATTTCTTTTTACAAAATATTAGTTAAAAATATTATAAAAAAAGAACAAAAATCAATTATTCAATATATACGATGATTCCGTGCAAGTATTCCTTCCAATAAAACAAATAAAATATTATTATATCAACAAAATAAAAATAACTAAATATTCAAATAAAAATATATATATATAAAAGTTTAAATTTTACCTTCAAATTCATAAACACAAACACTTGTTCTTTATACGCACCGGTATATAGCAATAACGAAGATGAATGAATAATGATTTATATTATTCAAAAAACTAAAAGTATAGAAGAAGAAAAATAAACATTTATAGGAAATGAAAATAAACTATATATATATAATATTTATCTATTTTTATATGAGTTATTAATTATATAGATAAATTTTGACAATTTCAATTTTATTTTTAATCATATAATTATATTATATAAATATTATAACTTAATATATTATACCTTTTTAATTTATTATATAATAATTATATTAATATATAATAGTATAATAGATATAGATAGATATTTGACTATTTCAATGATATTATTTTTAGTTTTATAAATAATTTATCCATGAATATTATATTTTAATAAATTATAAAATATTAGTTTATTTTAAAATAAGATATAATAAAAGGTAGATAAATTTTACAAATAATTTATTCATAAATATTATACCTTACTAAATTGTAAAATATTAATTTATTTTAAAACAAGATATAATAACAAGTATAGATAAATTATATGTATATTTTATAAAATAAAAAAAAAAAATTATTATGATTTTGAATGATTAGTTATAATAATTTATTATACATATATATTGTGCCACAATATTTGATACGAATATTTTTATATTTTTATTTACTTATATACATTTGTAAATAAATGTAACATAATTTTGTCATAAAAAAATAAAATAAAATGTAGCTAATTTGCTTCAATGAAAAAAATTCATAACAAATTTTTTTACGAAAATAGTTATGGATAAATATACTTTTATCTTTTGTGTATTATTATTATATTTTATGGCAAATTATATGACAGTTTTGACATATAATATTTTCATAGTAAATTTTTGTAGCTATATCAATGTTCTCCTGTAGTATAACTACTCGATCAAATTGATTGGCAGACACATCATAAAATAGTAAAAATAATAATCTCCTAAAAATAATAATCTCCGATATAAAAGTGTTGATTGTTGGTAAGTACGTATATATAATATTTAACAAGAAACTATAACATTGTCATATTTTGCATGCTTGTTCTTGAAAAAGCAACATTGCATGTGTATATATATATATATATGCATGTATATGAGGTAGGGTAGGGTAGGGTAGGGTAGGGTAGGGTTTAATTATAATTATAATTAGAAGGAAGTGTAGATTTGCATCTGATTGAGAATGTGCTCGAAATTATCGGTCGATTTTTGGATAGGGTGAGAATGCATTCCCTCGTACGTTGTCACCACAACCTCCTCGTCTTTCGACAGTCTTTGGACTTGCTTCTTCACATTACATCCTTGGTGTGTGCACCTGTAATAGCTTCTGCATATACATACATATATATATAACTAACTAGGGTTAGGTTAATTGATATGTATATATATATATATATAACACTAACTAGGGTTAGGTTAATTAATATAGATCATATATATTATATTACCTGCCAACTAACTAGGGTTACTTACAAATTTAGTTTGATTCATTGCAACTAAATTACTCTCTCCGTCCCAAATACCGTTTCTGCTACACTGTAGACACGGTATTTTAGGAGGGATGTAATTAGTAGATAATTAAGAATATATTAGTGAAAATAATTATCCTATAATATAAATAATTATAAATTAAGATTAAGATAACTAATTAGTTTAATTAAAATTAAAAAATTTAAAATGAGATTAAAGTGTGTAATCATTTTCCAAAAAAGGAAAGTGACATGGTATGTGGAACGGACAGAAACGGTAACGTGGATATGATATCTGGGACGGAGGGAGCACATTACATGATTCAATATTTGTCGGGTTTAATAAAAATGGATGTGTGTTATTCATTTATTTGTGTGTAATTTTTTATTTTTTATTTTTTTTTTATAATATTGGAAACCATATTTGCTGCGCTCTGAGTAAAAATCATCGACCTAATCTAATGTATGAAATTTTTTATATAACAGTTATAATAAATTTTTTATTTGAAATCGTAATTTTTGTGATTTTAAATTAAAATCGTTCCTGTTTAATTTGATTTCAATAAAAATATATATTTTTTTTCACCAAAAAATCATATAACAAAAACTCAAAGACATTCCATTTCAAATTAATTTTAAATAATAATAAAACAAACCCTAAAAGGTTGTAGTTTGTATAGTACTTGAATTTCAATGTAAATAATATTTTAATATAAAATTTTGTTAAAAAAAATAGTAAAAATTAGTGTGGAACTAAAACAAACAAAACCCAACTATGGTATAGGTACTTTGCCAATAAATAATATATTTAATATATTGTTTAAAATGGGGTTCTTTTGTGCAGTATTTTTTTATAAAAATATAATATTGTTTTTTCATAATATAACATCCAAATTATTATTCAAATTAAAATTAAAATCAAATTTTAAAAAGAACACAAACGATATATATAATTATCAATAATAATTCTGATAAAAAAAAATCCGATCAATAATAATAATTGGATAAATTAAACCCTAAATATATAATGAATACTTAAAAAAATTGCATTTTTTTTTATGTGTCTGACAGTACAAATAATTTATTAGGATTATGGTCAATTAAATTAACCTAAGCCATTAAAACACACTAACCATTGCAATTCACTTTTTAATTTCTAATTAATCCTAAGGTTAACCTAAAAAGATATAAATATAAACAAAAATATTATTCTACTTTTTTTTTAAAAAAAAAAAAAAACCCTTAATGTAATTATAAAATATTGTTGGCTGTGTGTCCATTTTATGTCTTAATTTCAGTCCAAAATTAGTACAACAATACATTAAAACCTTCCCTAAAACCCCCAATTGTCAACACTTAATTTCTTCCATAATTTAAATCATAACTAACCCCTACATAAATAAATATATATATACAAATATTAATCTACCTATAATCTAAGATCACCATAGGATTAATTTCCAATTAAGCCTAAATTAAATAACAAATCACTACAAGAAAATATTATTTTTGTAACAAAGGTTTTTCGTTCCTAAATTTACTATTTCCGTTACTAATAACATTAGAAACGGAATAAGTGATAAAATTACGTTAGCTGGAATTCCGTTACAAATATACTTTTTTTTTTTTTTTTTTCAGGAAAAATGAACATCATAACTAATATACATAAACAACAAAATAATCAAACACAAGGCAATTTATTTTATTTTTTTCACCTAATAACCTTATATATATATAAGTAAAAATATTTTTTTCAAAATCTATTTAGATCCCAATCCTATATATTATAAAATAAATAAATAATAATTTTGTAATAATTCACTTGTACGGATGAATAAGAGATCAACCGACCTCCATGACACAGCAGCAGTGACAGATTCCCACGTCATAAAAGAAAGAAAAAAAAAAGAAGGAAGAGATCGACTAACCTCGGGAACTTATTGTTCTTGACGGCCTTTTGGCCATATTTTCTCCATCTGTATCCATCGTCGAGGATGTCTACTTGGCTCCTTGTCTGAAATGCATATCTAGGTTTTCGACTTTTTTTTTCTCCTTTCAATTTCTTGCCGTCGTTTTCTGCCGTGGCGGCGGCGGCGGCGGCGGCGGCAACCCCATCATTATTATCTCCGGCGATCGCCATAGAGCTCATGTCGGTTTGCGGGCCTACGGCGATCGAATCTTCTTGGAGAAGAAATGATCCGTAGGCGCCGTTTTCTTGCATCGCTCCGGCGGAGCTCATCGAGGGGTTCGATGAATTTATGAAAAGCGAGGACGAGGACGATGACGAGGATTCGAACATGGAGGAATAGTTGTTGTCCATGAGGAGTGAGAAAATGGTAGAGAGAGAGAATTGAAGAGAAGGAAATGAATTTGGCTTGTAATTGGTTTATAAAGGTGAGCCTTTTTTATTTGTGTACGAGTATTAATTAATTATTAATTAAGTAAATGAAGATTAATTAAAGTTGGGAGGCGGCTATAGCTAATTTATTTAATCCTACTATACAATATTATTTATTTTAAAATTTCTTTATATATATAGATATTGATGAGATGAGATGGAAGTGTATATTTAATTATTGTAGTTATTTGAATGTTTTGTTTTCGTGTATTTTATTTATTTATTTATTTTGTTTTGTAGTTTAAAAGTATGTTAAAAAAAAAATTAAAAATAAATAAATAAATAAAATTGGATAGTAAAAATATATATTAAAAAAATGCAAGTAGATAAATCCAAATTTATTTATTTATTTATTTATTTTGTGTGTGCGCTCTATTTTTCACATTTTACATTTTAAAGTATTTGTGTGTGTGCGCTCCTATTGAATTTGTTTGGTTTGTATTTTTTCTTCACTAGTTTACTATTTAGGCCAGTTAAATAATAAAAAGTATTATATGTAAATATTATTTAAATTGAATTTCAAATTAAAAATAAATAAAAAAAAAACACAAATTAACCAAACAAACAATGTTGTGGGTTATATACATACATATATATATAAAAGATTGTAGAATCTAATGGTGTGTTTTTTTTTTTTTAAAAAAAAAAAAAGAAAACATACATATATTTTCCTAAAAATATTAATATATCATACACATTTATTATTTTTATATTTCTTACACAATTTGTTTATGTCTCAGATAAAAAAAAAAAATAATCATTCAAATTATCTTATAAAACAAACACACTTAAACACATTCCGTCACCTTTATAATTATTAAATATTCTATATATCCACTATAAACATAAATTATTTATTTAACTTTTTAGTAAATGTAGACTCAGTTCCATTGTTAAGATACTATATTCATTAAATTTTATACCAAAATTAGACTGATAGTACGGAGAAAGTATAATAAATATTACTAGTATATATGCTCAAATTAATTCAGGAAAAAAATACACACTTATACATGTAAATGTCGATATTATTATTATTATTATTATTATTATTATTATTATTATTATTATTATTATTATTATTATATCTAGAAGAATCATAATATGGGTTTAGAAAATTAAATTTTGGTAGGTGGCATGATGATGATTATTTTGAATGTAGACTTCAAATTGAGATAAAATTTTCGTGATGCCAAGAGATTGGTTTTGACCAAAATTATATTTTCCACGAACGTGGAATTCCAGTCGTTGTAAACACAATAATTTATTATTAAGAGTATTAAATATATATATATATATATTAATTAAATGTGTGTGTCTGTCAATATATTTGGTATTCATAGTGACCTTTTTATACGTACGCTGAAAGATCCATTGTGGAAAAGTCGACACCACGGACCAAACGTTACACACACACACATACAGTGTATTCCTCATTTTATATTTTATTGCTATTTGAATTTAAAATAAGGATTTTTGTTCTTCCGAACAAATTTTTGTTAATACGCCTCTCAGGGTATGTTTGTTTAGGGGTTTGGATTTTGAGTCGAGATTTGAATAGTAAAAAAATTTGAATTCGAATAGTTGTATGTTGCTAGAAATTTTGGGGGAAAATAATGAAGTTGTCTTATTGATATTCAAAATAAGAGGCCTATATATACATATAGACAATACAAAACAGACTCGATATACTCAAATCTAAGTAATCTAATCTATGGATAAGATCAAATCTAGATATAAATCTACTAAATCTAAAATTGAATATCTAAAATATCTCAACAGTATGATATGATATAAATCGGTGTTGACTAAAATTGATTTTTAGTATAATATAAAAAATGAAAAATAGGTGTTTGATTTGATGTTTTTGGAAGGAAAAATGGGATGAACAGTGGATTTAAAAGCCAATCTCCCAAACGAACACATTTCATCTGTCCAAAGTGAAATAGGGTTTTGGAGTTTTATAGTAAATTAAGAAATAATAGTATTTTATTAGTCAGTGAAGTATGTAAAGAGTTTTTGAAATTTTTATGTATAAAATAATTATATGTGTAATAGTATATTTATAATTTAAGTAAAAATTAAAGATATTTTAGTATTAATATATAATTAATTTTTCTAAAATAAAAAATGACTAAAAAAATACTTTGAATTAGAATAAAAAAATATATAATATTTATAATCTATTTTTCTTATTAATATTAATTATTAAATATAAAATATTATTTTTATATTATTGATAATGTTACATCGATTGTATAAATAAACAAATCTCAAATCTAAAAAACTAAATACACCTTTAATTTTAAATATTAGTATAATATACCCACCTTGTCTCAACTGTTCATAATCTTTTGTTTTCTAATAAATTTAAAAGTAAGTAATATCTTATTGGTTAACAATATATATATATATATTGTACTTTTATCATATAAATTTTTGAGGGTTTGGATTTTGAGTTGAGATTTGAATAATAAAAATTTTGAATTTGAATAGTTGTACGATGTGATATAAATAAGTGTTGATGTGATGTTTTGAATGTAAAATGATTTTTAGTATAATATAAAAAAAATAGATGTTTGATTTGATGTTTTTAGAAGAAAAAAATTGGATGAATAGTAAAAATCTAATCCAATCTCCCAAACAAACACACCCTTAAATATTTTAGACAAATTAATAATCTTATGCTGTAGTTATTAAAGGAAATATTGAATAATTTTACCATGCAATTATATTATCTATTGAAATAATAGTATGATAATTATTAATCTCATCCTACTAAGTAAAGTAATAATGTATAATGATATTTTGTAATTTATTTAAAAGTTAAAGAATATATTATTAGTGTGAAATCATTTTTAATATAATATGATAAAATATATATGAATGAATTAGGCGAAAATAATAAGAATGATACATATAATTTAGATGGAGTAAGTATATAAGATCATATATGTAAACATAAAAAAATAAAAAAAAAATACTATTTTTGTTCATTAACAATTTATTCATTTTTTTTTATTTTGGTCCGTCTCATAAAAAAATATCTATTTTCGTTTTTAGTAATTGTACTTCCTACCAACATTCAAAATATTCTTACAACTTACAATATATTATACAAACGTCATTATCTTTATATCACACAATACTAATAAGGTTATTTTAGTCTTTAATAATTTATTCATACCACACCCAGTAAATACTAATATTCCTAAAACTCCGTGCGAAAAACAAATTGATACATAGATAATGGACAAAGGGAGTATAATCTTTATCTTTTATTTATTTCACTGAAAAAATATATCTTACACGTTTGCAAAATAGAATTCTAGGGTTTTTGAAAATGACTATGCACATTTTTTTTTACATAAATAATCTATTCAATCAATTTAATATATATTTAACTTTGGATGGTCTGACACCGGTTCATCCACAGGAGTTGGCCTAGCACTGGCCCAACTCCAGGGTATTACACGGTTAAATGACAAAAATGACCGACTTTTAAAGACGTATAGGATATATTATGTCAGCGAGATAAATAAATGACAAAAATAATAATTGAATATCCGTGCGTATTATTTTTGCAATTTTTCTTATATATAGTATATTATTATACAATGTCTATTCTTCGTAAAATATATAATTTTTTTTTATAAAATATTAAATCAAATCATTATTTAATCACAAATATAATTTAGTGGTTGTGATTTATAATGAAATATTAATTTAAATTTTTGTTTAAATAGTATTTTAATGTAATATTTTATATAAAAAATTAATATTACATATTTTTATTAAAATTTTATGAAAATAAATAGTGTTGATTTCAATTTAAAATTATATATATATAATCATATATTTACTCGTGTTTTCAAACCTATTTTCAAATTATTATATAATACATTTATTTTTTTAATATTAATTTTTTATTAATTTCATAGTTCTCGTAAACTTCAAAACAAAATAATGTATTTAGTAAACTTAAATATTAAAATAAAACTAAAATAGATTATTGCCTTTATTTATTTATATTTTCAAGCTTATATTCCCACAATGTACTACATATATAGATATTAGAAATATTATTCTATTTAATAACAAAATTTATATCAAAACTTTATTTTTTTGAATTTTATAATAACAAAAAAAGTATTTTCAAAATATATGTAAATAAATAATTGTGAGTAACTACATCCAAAATATTCCAACTACCAAGTGGGGATTAAATTAAAAAAAAAATAATAAATAATAATAATAATAATAATAATAATAATTGGATTATACTAACATATTTATATATACATAAGTACGATATATTATGGTATTATTTATTAATATTGGGTTTGCTCGTAAGAATTGATTTTCGATTTTATTGTTTTAATTTTTTTTTAAATATTAAATTAAATGTTTATTATTTATTTATTATATTATACTCAAACTAAATTTTACTCTTAAAACATCACATTAAACAATTATTTCAATTCTAAATTTTATTATTTAAAATCAAAACTCAAAATCTTACAAATACACACACTAGTGATACAATTATTTATAAATATTATATAAAAAAATATACTAATATATCACGTATTTTATATAATCACAAAAAGTTAATAATTTTTAAAATATATATTATTTTTTATACTATTACTTATATAATTTTTTGTATTTAAATAAAAAATTTATTTATCTTAAAATACAAAATAAGCATTACATTCATTTAGGGTGTGTTTGTTTGGGGGATTTAATAAGATTTCTACTATTCATCCAATTTTTTCCCCCCAAAAACATCAAATCAAACATCTATTTTTCATTTTTTATATTATACTAAAAATCAATTTTACGTTCAAAACATCACATCAACATCTATTTATATCACATCATACAACTATTCAAATTCAAAATTTTTACTATTCAAATCTCAACTCAAAATCCAAACCCCAAAACAAACACACCCTTAATTTC